CAAAAGGGGGGGGGACAGCAAAAAGGAAACGATTTATTTGAAAGCAAATCTGTGTTTGAAGAAGTACAGCCAGAATGCTCCTTAGAAATCAGGAGGAAAGATCATTTCAACCAGCTAAAGCAAAAGTTATTTTTAAACTAGGCGGTTTACAACTAATCAAAACTCAGGAAATAAAAACTGTTGGAAGCAATTCAACTTACTTGTGAAAAAACAAGAGCGTCCAGTAACATCCGAAAAACACGTGGCGGGGGTGGGGAATCCGAGCTTAACACCAGGCTAGACTCAAAGTCCCAACATCCCATTCGGCAGCTAAACCCGATTGTTCAGGGCGAGCCAGCGCATTGGTTGCTGGGAACTGTGGTTTTTACTTCTCCGCCTCCCTGCGGGTTTGCGACGTTTAGCGACTATTGCGCCTGCGCCAGCTCCGGCTAAGAGGCTGGGGCCGTGGCGGCTGGTGCCGGGTGATGCTAGGCAGCTCCTTGGGCTCCAAGCTGTTGCGAGGTGTGGGTGGGAGCAGCGGGCAGTCCTGGGTGCGGGGTGTCCGCGAAGGTGGCGCAGCCATGGCGGCAGGGGAGAGTATGGCTCAGCGGATGGTCTGGGTGGACTTGGAGGTGAGTGAGGTCGGCGGGGGATACGGAGAGGTGAGTGAGGTTTTGCGCTTGGGACCCATTTGCCCAGCCTGCCCGGGAGAGCGGCGGGGCTCGGGGCTGAGCTGTGGGGTCACGGGGCAAGTCCGGAGGCAAGAGACGTTTGGGTTTTGGGGCCGTGCTGGATTGGGGGTTTCATTTCGAAAGGAGGAGTCCATATGGTTCCCCCACGCCCAGATGAGGGCCTCTGTAACACGCTCGCCCCTCGGGATTTAGTGTCATGGGGTGGGAAAAGTGGCTCTTCTGACTTCTCTCCTTCCAGCCTTAAAGGGCTCTAGGTTGTTAGAGCTAAACCGGACTCTAGAGATGACTCAGCCTTACTGATTTCATAAACTAGGAGACTGAGGCCCAGAGAGGGTTCGAGTCATTCAAGGTCATGCTGCCTGACTTGAGACTAGAACCCAGTTCTGGTTCTGGTTCCATTTTGTTTACCATTACTCATGACAAGGGCTCCCCCTCTTACTTTGACCCTCAGTTGTTGTGGGGGGTTTTTCTGTCTAAACTGGGAATAGTAATAGCGCTTTCTGCATCCGATTGTAATGAAGATCAAGTGGTGTAATTAATATGTGAACTTTAGTGTAGCTATCGAACTACACGGTCTTAACTCTTCCAAAACTGAGCGTGACCGCCACAGATACTTTGCATCTGCCCCCAGTGGAATCAAGGTGCCTGACAAATTGTAGGTTCTTGGTAAATGTTTGTTAATCAAATGAAGGTCCATGTTTCTTGTATAAAAGAAGATCCCATGTTTCTTGTGTGGTGGATTTGCCAAATGACCAGTATTTATTGTCTCTTCTACTCTAGCTACAGAAATGTGAATTAACTGACTATACTTAAGGGAGTTCTTGTTAAATGAACTTGGGGAGAAGACCAGAAAGATGATTTTGTGTGTAATAGATGTTTGTTTATTTTTGTTGTAGATGACCGGTTTGGACATTGAGAAGGATCAGATTATTGAGATGGCTTGTCTGATAACTGACTACGATCTCAACATTTTGGCTGAAGTAAGTGATACATGTCACAGACTGTTTAGGGCTGATTGGAATTTTAAAGATCACTCCTTCCCCCAAGCTCTTTATTTTAAAACTATAAAAATTAAGGTCCGTGTAGATTACTGTCCAAAGGTAGATGGTAACTCATGGTGGGTCTGCCAATAGAATCAAAGTATTCTGCCTTGCAAGTTAGCCAGCTTTAAAATAAACCATAGGAAAAAGTTGTAAATACTATCACTTACTGAGTGGAGTGCTTCCTATGAACCAGGTAGTGTTTTGCACGTGTTCACTCTTAGTCCTCAGATCTTGTGAAAGCCTCTGCCATGGGGTTGCAGCTAACTTACAGTGATTCTATCTATATAGGGTTTCTAAGATTATAAAACTTTATGGGAGGAGATAGCCTCAACTTTCTCCCTTGGAGCAGCTGGTGGGGCCTGGTGGGTTTGAAAGCTGACCTTGTGGTTAGCAGCCTGATGCCTGACTTACCAGGAGTCCTTATGTATAAGGTGGTGCTATAGGATAAGCACTGGATTGCTAACAGCGAGGTCGGCAGTTCACAACTTCTCGCAGAAACGATACAACAACAGGTACTGTTATAACGTCCATTTTATAGATGATATATTTTTTGCATAGGCATTGATTGGGTAGTTTGCGCAAGACCACCTTGCTAGTCGTTGAGGGGGAGCTGGTAATTGAATCGTAGCAGTCTGAATCAAGTGCTCCTACCACTAAGCTGTGTTGTCCTGCTAGAATTGGTGACTCTTTCAAAGTTTGCCTCTTAATAACATCATAACCTTAATTTGATATCTAATTCCTACTTTTTCAACTAGGATAAGTACTGGACTGCAAAGTTGGTTTGAACCGCCAAGGTCAGCAGTTCAAGCTCACCAGCCGCACCTCAGAAATCCTATACAGAGTTGCTTTGAGTCAGATTTGACAGCACTTAACAATAATAATGACATAAAGAGATTTCAGAATATTTGTAGATGCACCAACGCCCTGGTGGCCCAGTGGGTTAAATGTTGGGCTGCTAACCACAAGGTTTGCAGTGTAAGCCCACCAGTAACTCTGTGAGAGTAAGATGAGGAAGTTTGCGCCTGTAACGATTTGCAGCCTGGGAAACCCTGTGGGGACAGTTCTTCTCAGTCCTATATAATTGCTCTGAATCAGTGGCAGTGAGCTAGATTTGGTTTTGGTTCATAAAATGTGCTCTTGTTGACATATGGGGCATGTTTAAGGTTTTTACATGCTGTTAACTGGAACATTAAGCAAAACAAATAAAAAATACCTGTTATGTTTCAACCACTCATGAAGCATTTAATAAGTATGTGACATCATGTGATTGGTAAGAGGTGAAATCGCCGACCTTGAATAACTCTGTTTTGTATTGTTAGCAGTATTCTGAAGCCATCAAGAAACTCTAAAATAAGAGCAAAATAGAGATGCATATGGAAAAGAGTTTTTTTGTTTTTAAATTCTCAGATTGAGATTGTTCTTGACCCTTGATAAAGTTCATTAATCTAAAGTTAAAATTTCCATTTCCTTTCTTGGGTAGGGAAACGTGGGGGAAGGTGTTTATAGATGAAATACCACCTATTCTTGGGGTACTAGCTGTATCTTCCTCATATATCAGCCTATCAGTTGAAGGCAAATCATGAGACTTTGTATTTTTAATCAGAACAACTAGGTTGTTAAGTTGTTGAACTTTATATAAATAAAGCTCTGAGTTTTACGTTTAGTTGTGTGTGTGTTTTCTATCACTGGGAATTTACTGGAGATAAATAGTGAAGAGAAGTGTGTTTATTTTACCAGCTCTACTTACCCTTGACTGAAGAAGAGTTTTTCCCTTAGACTGTTGATATAAGGTGAAATACTGACAGTTTAATGGACCAATTAGTTGATAGGTACCCTGGAGGAAATTTGGGTGTGTATTCATTCATACAGTTGCAGATGAGTGCAACATTTGTAAATAGGCAAAAATCAGATGAGGATAAGGGTTGTTTAAAAAAAAAGGAAAGAAAAATTAGAAGATACTGGCACCTGAGTGTCAGGGAGCTAGTGCTATTTTTATGTTATCAGAGAAAATCTTTGGCTTCCCCACTGAAATTTTGAACATTACCAGTTTTCTTCATTTGCTAAAACTTCTTTCTGTTGTCAGCGGTCAGACATATTTCAGTATGACACTTGTCTGTCATCATACCTTGTCATCCACAATGTCACAGTATGAATGGTGATGTTTTCATCATTCCGTTCAATGATTGTAAACCATTTTTTATCAACTTAGTATTTATGACACCTTGGATTTATACTTTTCTTCCAGAGTTCAAAGACTTTAATTTTATTATCCTTTTAACATCTTTGGATGAAGGTAGGCAGTTTGTTAATATCATCCCCATCATACATAAGCAGAAAATAAGCCCAATGTGCTTTTCTCTAATATTACAGGTTGGAATACTATTACTGCTGGATGCTACCCCAAACACTCTCCATAGAATGTTTTCACTATTCAATGGACTGAGAATTTGAAGGCCACTTTTCTACAATCCCCACTTTTGAAGCCCCATCTCACTAAATGCCTTTAAAATTTTTGTGTGTATTTAATTAAAAATATGTTTAAATTAGTATAACTTCAATAAACATACACACACACATATATGTATATATAACTAATGAGTTATCAGTTTTTTCCCTACCCTATTCTATTCACCAAAATTGTTATATTTTCTTGATATTTTGTATGTATGTGTGTATCATCTTCCTTTTTTTTAACACATATAAACTATATTTATACTATGCCACAATTACCTTTTTTTCACTGGGCGATGTAAAGTTAGTTGACACTTTTGAGAGCGTATTCCTAATTTCAAGTTGGAGTAGACTTTTGTTGGGACCAACAAAAAAAGCAGACTTTTTCTATAAGTCAGATAGTATTTGTTTTGAATGCCACATACCTCTCTGTGATGTGTCTTTCTTTTATGGCCCTCTAAAAATGTGGAAACGGTCCTTAACTTGCTGGCCATAAAAAACAATAAAACACAAAAACCAGCTGCAGGCTAGGGTTATAATTTGTCAACCCTTGATAGAGATTTGTGATCTCCCTGATAAGGTGTTTTGGGTTTTTAACTTAAAAAAAAAAAAAATTATTTGTAATTGCTATGGTCTCAAATAGTACTGGAATAAATGAGGACCACTTTTATGGTTAGCAGAGTGCCCTCACCTCTTAATTTCTCCAGCAAGTATACTTAATCTTATAAACAGCTTAAACTTTATCTCAGACAGTGAGGCTATTCCTGTTGATTCTTGATGACTGACAGCCTTTCCCATTTACAGGGTCCTAACCTGATTATAAAGCAGCCAGATGAGTTACTGGACAGCATGTCAGATTGGTGTAAGGAGCATCATGGGAAGGTAACATTACCCAATAACAGGATTGCTGCTTTGGGGATCCTAACAAGCTTGTTGCTCCCACATCTGAATCCTGTATCATTGTTGGATGGTATTTAAGAAAGGGTTAGAGGAAGATTGCTTGGCAAGCCTGGGAAACTACTTGCTGCTTTACTTTTCATCTCTGGGACCTCTCGAGATCAGCTTCTCCTGAATGTCCTCTTTTTTCCCCCCTCTCCTACATTCAGTCTGTCGCGAACGCCTTGTGGATTCTCAAGTATTGCTCAAGTCAGTCTTATGGATGAGGTTAGACATCAGCCTTTCAGAGAAGGGGAAATGCTACCCTCCTGTTAATAGTTGCTTCTTCCCAGAGGTTAATATCCTTGGACTTGGAGCACCATCATTTTTGACTGTGTGGAAATGCTTTTAACAATCAGTGGTAGCTGATTTGGCTTGGATGCTTTAAGAAAAAAATTGGTTGCAAAAGATGGCAGTTTCAGTTTGGATTTGAGCTCTGAAAATGGTCCATCTGTGGTTATATGTGCCCCTTTTAGAAGTGAAATTTCATTTCTGGATGCTTTTGAAAACCGATTTCATATGTTTCTGGTGGGGGGTCGGGGATTCTTTCTTGCAGTCTGGTCTTACCAAGGCAGTCAAGGAGAGTACAATGACATTGCAGCAGGCAGAGTATGAATTTCTGTCCTTTGTACGACAGCAGACTCCTCCGGGGCTCTGTCCACTTGCAGGTAAAATCCAATCCTATGTATACCTTATAGATAGTCAGCTATTGTAGTGGTGCCAGAGACTGCAGTTCCAGAAAGCCCAGCTAAAGGTCATCCATGTCTACTGCTTACCCTAATTTGGTACCATACATCTTCCTTTTGTGTTCAAGTTTTCATGTTTATTATGTGAATATTGGAAAAATGCCCATTAATCTGACATGAGATTTTGAAAACATGAGACCAACTCAATAAAAAATAACTCCCCCATATTTTCACTATGAAAAAAAGTTCACATGTACAGAAAAGTTGGAATCAGAAATTGTTAACCTTGTGCCATGTTTGTGTTACTTACCTGTTTTTTGTTGAACATTTGAAAGTAAATTGCAGACATCTTGATACTTGGTTCCTAAATACTTCATCAAGCATCTCCTCAGAATAAGAACCTTCCTTCTTTTATGTAATTATGATATCTTTACCTTCATGGATATCAAGTTCCCTGAGATGTCTTATACAGATTTTTGAACCAGCATTTAATCAAAGTTCACACATTTCTCTTTGTTATTTTGTTTTTTTAGTTCTGCTAATCTAAAATGGTCCACCTGTTTTTCTTTAAACCATAATGATATTGACTTTTAAAAAGACACCAGTCCAGTTTTGAAAGGACTACCATTGTCAGGAGGGAAGTTCATGTTCCTTGGAGATGTATTTGAATTTGTATATGTAAATTGATGTGGTAATCCTCCCCTTAAACATTTGTAAAAAAAAAAAATGTTTTGGCATTAAGTACTAGAGCATATGTTGTATTTAATTGATGTCTATTTTAAAACTAATTTAAAATTTAATATTTTTAATAGGAATAATTGTATGGAAATATGAATATGGATATGATTTGTTAAAAAAAAATTTGGAATCTTAAATAAAGGCTCATCTGCTTTTGTGATTCAGTTAAATTTTTAATATCAGCTGTGTGAATTTCCTGACACTGGGAGGAAATTTTTGCATCTGGTGTGACAAAAACTAACAAGTAGTAGATCTGTGCATTATTTAAGCACATGAAAGATGTAGATTTATTCTTTAATCCATAGAGAGACCGTTTACAAGTTTATTATGAGCTAGACTGACTAAATGCAGACTCAGAAGTCTGCATTGGGCCACCTAATCAGATGTTCTCAAACTGATGCAGAAAATTTGAGGTGCTTTTAGGACTTGTCTTTAAAAAAAAAAAATCATCTCCATTTCAAATATGATTTTTTTATACCCAGTTGTATACTAACTTCTAGAAATACACAGATGCAGTATGCTTCGTGTCTTTCTAGGAAATTCAGTTCATGCAGATAAGAAGTTTCTTGACAAATACATGCCTCAGTTCATGAAACATCTTCATTATAGAATAATTGATGTGAGCACTGTTAAAGAGCTGTGCAGGTAAGGGTTACATTTAGGATCCATTAAATTGCCTCGTGTAGCATGTTTTAATTGAAAATTTGTGGAAAATGCTCTAATAGACCTTAGAGTTGAGGGAATGAAATATGTGTATATCTTCATCCTGTGCTCACTTGGATATTAATTTCTCCTGGACCTGGTAAGAACTGAGTGAACCAATGTCAGAAAACCTTCTATTTAGATATCATTAATCCAGAAAACTGACTGGGCCTCTAGTAAGTGCCAGGCATGGGCCTTTGTGCTGAGGCCATATAGAGAAAAAAGATCTTAGGTAGCTTACAGTTTAGTGGGGTGGCACATATATAAAGAACTCCCATCCCAAGCATACATGATGATGTCTGTGAGGGATACCTGGTCCATATAATAGATTGAGGGCACAGGGGAAAGAGCACTTGAGTGCTGGCAAGTCAAGGAAAGGTTTAAATACGAATTAGCTTTTGAGACTTAAAGAATGAGTGGAAGTTTTTCAGGCTTTTAAGGGAAGGGAGAGCGCTCCAGTAAAAAAAGGGAATGGGCAGAGGTTTGAAGGTGTGAGTCAGCAGGAAGATGGGAACATAACAAGTTCCAGGAGCTACAAGCAGTTCATTAATGCTGGAGTGCTGAGCATGGGGTTGGAAAGGGCTCTATGCCATGCTAAAGAGCTTAAATTTTACCTTGAGATTCCTTTGAAAAGTTTTGAGGAATGTGTGATAAGATTAGATCATTTTGATCTCAGTGTAGAGTATGTATATTAAAAGATAGCACGAAAAAGCTCAGGAGATAAGAGAGAGAAGAATGAGCTAGAGAAGTAGCAGCTGGGCAGTAAAGAAAGGGGTCTGGAGATGAAATATCAAAGAGGGTGAATTGGCTTGTCATTAAATGCTTGATTGGGCGGGGGCGATGATGAGGAAAAAGAATTGTAAAGTGTGGAGTTTCTAGTTCGGAAATGTTACTATTCAAAGAAAAAGGGGGGACATGGCGGAAGGATGGATATGGTGGGTAGAGGGGGGAGGGGTATTTAAGGTCGTGAATGTGGTTTTGCATATGTGCAATTAGTATTGTCTGATGGATTTTTTAGGTGGAGTTGTTCAACATGCAGTTGGATATTCATGAGAGAAACTCGGAAGATAGTTGGGCTGGAGTTACAGATTTGACTTTTAGCCACTGGTGGTGGGTAGATGAGCCTGCTCAAAGAGAATGTAGAATGAGGAGATAAGGGTGGAAGACAGCCCTAGGGGAAGAGGCAGCTTGTTGGACACACCCAAATGCCTTTTTCAGTATTGAGAAGTTATTTGAAGGAGGTAATTTATTCAGTGTATTTGAAACAGTTTCCTTTGAGAGTTCCATTTCTGCTGTATATAGACGCTGGTATCCAGAAGAATATGAATTTGCACCAAAGAAGGCTGCTTCTCACAGGTATGTTTTGGCTCTTGCTGAGCACTTGCAATCTATTGCACATAATTCCCAGATTTCTGAATGTTTGTCCACTCCTTTCCTTTAATAAAAAAATAAAGGTTGAATGGCATAAAGAAAACTTTTGCTAAGACTCTGAAATTCTGATCAGGATTCCAGTATTCCATTCTAATATTTGTATGGATCACGTAATCTTTATTAAAGGTTTAAAACTTTTAGAAAGTTTGTAGGTATGATGAAACAAAATATAATTCTTTCAGTAATGGCCAGTATTCAATGGCTTGTAGCCATTTAAAATAAGAACACTTTATGGACAGTAGTAAAATACTGTTATCCTAAGTTTAACATATTTACATTTTTTAGATTGTTTCTTTTTTTTCTTTTTTGAGCTGCATGGTTAGTTACAAGTACATAAGGAATTTAAAGATCTTATTAACATGTGACCTGTGCTAATTCGGTTCCTTTTCTTTTTGATTTTGTATTTGTTCAAGGGGAACAAGAATAAAGTGAATTCCTTTTAAAGGAAGCATTTGGGTCATCTTTAACTGTGGGCTTCCTGTGTACCATGCACAGTTCCAGGCAAGCAGAAAAGGCCGTAGTCCCTACTCTAAACAATTTTACATTCGAATGGACTGTATCTCTCTCTCTTTTTTTTTTCCATTGCTCTTATAGACTGTAAAGTGTGTTGGTGGTTCTGTGGGTTAGGCATTGGGGCTGCCAAGTGCAAGGTCGGCTGTTCAAACCCACCAACCACTCTAAGGGAGAAAGAAAAGAGTATCTGTTCTTAAAGCTTACAGTCTCAGAAACCCTACATAGGGTCACTATAAGTAGGAACTGACTTGATACTGGTGGGTTTAGTTTTTGGTTTTCATGGATGGCAGCACAATTTTGCTATGAAGTGCTATCGAGTCAATTCCTACTTATAGTGACTCTATGGATATTCTGAGGAACAGCTGGTGGGTTTGAACTGCTGGCCTTGTGGTAATACCAACTGCTGGTCCAGGGCTGATCTTACAGCACCACAACCGGAGTTCAGCACAATAATACCTAATCTGAAACAACTGGACTTGATGTGTCTAGGAATTCAGAATTTCCCAGATTTTAGAAAGGCCATAGTATACCTTGAGAACATTTTGGAAGTAACACCCAACAAGGCTGAGGAAGGGCTGTAACTAACATCCACAGCAAACATGTGGATAGTCACACCAAATGAAATATGAATGACTATGAATAGCTTCACTTTAAAACCAGTTAGTTTATTAAACTGCTTTGGGTTCTCAGATGTCCTTTGGATTTCAGTATTATGTCAAGAGGTGGTAGTTGTTAAGTATTATTGAGTCGGATCTGACTCCTAGCGACCCTGTATAGGGTTTTTGGGGAGCAGCTGTTGAATTTGAACCGCTGACCTTGCATTGAAGTTCAACTCAACCTGTGGTCCAGCGTATTGTCCCACAGCGCTACTTATCTTTTATTTAACCAGAGGCTGTGTTTCTGACAGTTTCATTGCTACACCATACATATATCCAGAACCTGAGAAGAAAACAGAATTGTTGCCTTACCACAGAAGTAACTGTCATAAAACTTTTGCACTAAAGTTGGTGCGATATAGTTTCTAGAACAGGCCCCTGGCCCATCATTTAGAGCTTATTGATTTCCTTGCACACTGCTTACCTGGTTTCTCAGCCTACACCAGATGAGAACCAGCATGTTAGAGGAGAAGAAAGTCTGTTAGATGGAGGCAGGCTGCCACTGGGAATAGCACAAATCACCACGCTAGAGGAGGTAGCGCCTTTTTTATGGTTAGGTCCTGTCTGATCATTGATGTTTATTATGATGACTGAGACATGAATTATGTTCCAGTATGTCAGTATATTTTGTTCAGGGCTGTCATTAAATATTGCTCAGTATTTCCTAGGCTGTGATCCATGAACTGTTAATAAGTATTCTACAAATGAGGTCAGTTAAGTTTTAGAAATACTGTGTGCATATAGTATACCCTCCTCCTGGGAATTCACAGTGCACATCAGTATATTAAATGCTTTACAAAGAACCCTCCAAAAGAAATGCTTAATCTAGTTTTTCCTATATTTACTTGACCTTATAACCTTTTTTACCCCTCACCCCCATTGGAAGAATTTTGGGAGTCTTTTTTTGTCTGCTATTATTTATAAAGGTGTTTTTTTTTAAATGAACAAAAACGCTGAAAAGAGATGTGTTTTCCTGACATGCCCCCTTTCTCGGGGATGCCAGATGGTGGCATTTACAGTAGTGCCCTCTGGTCCTCAGTCACTCACACGGAGGCGCTTTTCCTAAGATGACTGTCATGTCCTCTGCTGTTGAATCTTTTATCCAACACAGTCTGCTTGCTTTTAGGGCCCTTGATGACATTAGTGAAAGCATCAGAGAACTTCAGTTCTACCGGAATCACATCTTCAAGAAGAAGACAGATGAAAAGAAGAGGAAGATCATAGAAAATGGAGAAAACGAGAAGACTGTGAGTTGATGCCAGTTCTCCGAGTTCTCTGGAAGCAGCATCTGGTGGTCTTTTCTGTGTTCACCCTGATGGCTTGGCAGAGCGCCTTCTTCCTTCAGTTACCTTACACCTCTAGTCTACTCACACAGGCAGCACCAGAATTACTATTTTTCTCTGACTACACTGTTACCATTTATAACAAAACGGCTGCTTTCGTTATAACAAAACGGCTGCCATGCCAACCCCTTGGTACACATCTGCGTTTGCTTTTGTTTGGAAAAAGAAAAAAAAAAAAAAAAAAGTAAATAAATAAATAAAGCTAGTTCTATTGAAATGCAAGGGTTTTTTCTTTTGTATCTTCAGTGTCTTTAGTAGTTTAATCCCTGGAGAAAGATGAGTTTCTCTCTTTTTTAAAATTTGTCTAGATGGCATAGCTATTGTTTAAACTCTCATGAAGCAAGTAGGAATGGGTAAAGTTTCTTTTATTAAACAGGAAGTGAACTTGTTCCGTTTTGCTGTACAAGTCAAGGATAGAGTAACTGGAGATAGATTCAAAGGAATAGCTTTGAGCTTGTTGTAGTTGTTGAGAGCTCTGGTCTAGGCTACTTTTACTGCATTCAGGAAATTCATGTAAGCCGTCCAACAGGAATTCTATAAACACTAACTAAGGGGTATTGAATAGTTTTGTGCAATTGCAGCAGTCAGAGTGTTAGATTTACAGATTGTAAGTAGCTAACTATCCTGTATCTATGGTCAGTATCTATGGTCAGTACAAAATGATTTCAGTTTGAGCACCTTAACCCGTAAGTTTAGAGCCATTTGGTCAAGAGCTTACCACAGTACACGGTGAGTCCTCAACTGGAGGGCTCATTGGAGTCACCTCTCTTTAGAACACACTTCCTGTCTTCTTCGTGTATTTCATTCTGACAAACGTTCCCTATTTTAGTTCTCTAATGCTGCTGCAAAGGAGCTGTGGTAGCGTAGTGGTTACGAATCGGGCTGCTATCCTCAGGGTCAGCAGTTCGAAATTACCAGCTGTTCCACGGGAGAAAGATGAGGCTTTCTGCTCCCGTAAAGATTTACAGCCTCGGAAACCCTGTACAGGGTTGCTATGAGTCAGAATCGACTCCACGGCACATAACAACCACAGCACATAACAACAACAGTGCTGCTGCAACTGAGATACCACCAGTGGAGTCCAGTGGAGGACTTTAAAAAATGGATTCTCCCATGGTTTAGGAGGCTGGCAGTCTGAAATCAGGGGAAGGCTTGCTTTCCCCACTCACAGTTCGGGGAGAAGGTCCTGTCTCCTTTCAATACCTGGGGCCCTGTGTTCCTTGGAGATCCCCATGTGTCCTGGCATCCATCGTCCTCCGGGTCCAGGAGATTTCTCAGCATAGGGACCATAGTTCAAAGCACATACTTCTGGCTTTCTGTCATGGTGCTACTGAGGTCTCCCTTCGCCGCTATTAGTTTCCTTTCTTTTTAACTCATGTAAGTTGAAAGGGGATATAGGCCATACCCCTGGGAAACTCCCCTTACATAGAATCAGGACTGTGATCTGAGTAAGGAGGTTACATTCTACCTCAGTCCCCTTACAACTGATTAATCACATTAGGTCACATGGTTACAGAATCGCCAAACCCTTAGAATTATGGCCCAGCTAAGTTGACACACATTTTTGGGGGACTCAGTTCAGTCTAAGATACCCTCTTAAGATAAAAAAAATATTGACAAACTAAGGAAGGCCCATGTATGACCTGCCTCTCATTAAGGCTACTGGACTTGGTTGGTTGGTTATGTGCTGTGGAGTAGGTTCCGACTCAGCGACTCTGTGCAGGGTTTCCGAGGCTGTACATCTTTACGGAAGCAGAAAGCCTCATCTTTCTCCTGCGGAACAGCTGGTAGCTTCAAACTGCTGACCTTGAGATTCGCAGACCGATTCGTAACCACTACGCTACCAGAGCTCCGAAGGCTACTAGACTAGGACTCTGGTTATCTAAAATTATATTCCTAGTCAGCTTTAAGGAGCTCTGGTAGTGTAGTGGATTACGAGCTGAGCTGCTAGCCAAAAGGTTAATAGTTCGAAACTGCTAGCTGCTCCATAGGAGAAAGATGAAACTTACTGCTCCAGTAAAGCTTTACAGCCTCAGAAATGCTGTACAAGGGTCACTATGAACCAGAAATGACTCCATGCCATACAGCCACCACTACCACTTGTTTTTGTCATTATATGGACATGTGTGATCCTCTATAAACAGTACAGTAATCACAAGACTAGAATAGTCTCATACTGTAAGCCTGCAAAAGCAGGAACTTGTGGAAGGTGGAAAACCGTCGAAGAAGGAAAATATGAATATTTTTCACTCAGACGAGCAATAGAAACATAAGACTGCTTGCTGTTAAAGGTGGGAAACTTGGGCGGCCAGAAGAACAAGGCAGCCCGTTGAGTTCTGGTTCTCACAGTTTTCTCTTTATATGTTGTTGTTGTTATGTGCCGTAGAGTCGGTTCCATCCCATAGTGACCCTGAACAGGGTTTCTGAGGCTGTAAATCTTTACGGGAGCAGAAAGCCTCCTCTTTTCTCCCGTGGAGCAGCTGGTAGTTTCAAACTGCTGACCTTTCGGTTCTCAGCCCGATTCATAACCACTACGCTACCCTAGCTCCTTCACTGTATATAACCTTTTCCAGATTCACAAACCTAGTGTCAGTTGATGGGAAACAAAAGTCAGCTGACTTCTGATGACCTTTCATTCTACTTTTGGATTGGCACAGGTTCTAGTTTATCTGCGTACCAACCTTACTTTTTTGGAAGATAGGAATATATACTAGTAGTTAGAAACAGCTCTTGGGTCAAAAGTCCATTCAAATCCAAGCTTCATGATGTATTAACTCTGCAAATTCAGCAAGCCTTAGATTCCTTAACTGGAAAATGAGGTTAAGAATGGAACCCAACTGAAAGTGTTGTTAGAGCTAAATACTAATCATATAGCTGTGAGGTCAGTGCTTGGCACACCGCATACAATGTTAGCTACTATTACTAATGAAGATAGATTTGAGTTAGTCCAGGATTTCTGGGAAGGGTTACTCTGATATATTTGTAACGATGGTTGGGGCATTATCTGAAATCATTGTTCACTTAGGGCCTATGACAGCATATTGCTCCAACAGTTTAATCTTGACTTGGCATAATGTTTCCAACTAAAATTTGGCAAGGTAGTTTTGTCCTTACTTGGCCTCAGGACTATTAAAAATACTAATGCGAGACTAGATTTAAGAACAACTTTCGACTTATGAAAGAGGTTCATTATAGTAACCGGGTACAACTATTAGTTGGCACAGAATTTCTCCCATATAATTGTGGTCCATACTGCTTAGTTTTCTTAAAATTTGTAACTCTGGGTGTTCATTTTAAACCTCCCATCCATTCTGTATATTCATTATCTAGCAGAATTCTCCATCACCCCCCTCATGGAACATGTGATCGTTTTTAGTAATGTAATTGGCAGCCTGTGAAATAAGCAAATCGAGCCTGATGCAGGTGTGCGTGAAGACATGATGGTTCAGTGATTAGTTCATTATCTTTTAGTCTGCTTAAAAATAAGCTTAAATTTGTGGTGCTGGTATTTATCATTTCACATGGGACTCCTGAAGCCATGAAGTCATTTCTGTGAAATGAACTGCAATGCAAATTCGCTGAAGTTTATCTAGTTTCCTCTCAAAATGATCAGTCTGCTTGTTTTAGCAGAGCTTGCCATTCTGATGCTCCTGGGGCCTTCTATTAACAAATAGGTTTTTCTGTCTGTGCTGTAATTATCCTGGAGTTTGAGTTCTTAGCGTCACCCAGGTATATTTCCACACATTCAGTACTGTGGGAGAGAATCTCCATCCAATGGTCCTTGAGTGCCCATGGGAATCTTGCCTTTATACTGAGGGTCTGAGCAAGAACCAAGACCCCATTTAGCATTGTAACCTTAAGATTGGAACCTGAAATACTTGTATTTCCTCATTTACAAAACAATGTCCCTTTTCAACCAACCAGCTGACAAACTCAAAGAGACATTATAAGTGTAAGTCTTAAAAGAATAGTAGTTCATAATGTTCAAGTACAATTTTGTCCCTTTTAAGCCCTGCCATTTTGATTGCCTTGTAATAATTACATTGTATGTCCCAAGTGTACTCAAATGCCCTGATGTTCTGAATAAAGTTAGTAAGTAGCAGGGACAGTGGAAAATTGGTGGTGGTTAGGATAAGCCATATGTAGCAGATGAATGAGGACAAAATGGTTATGCTGTGTATTTGTTGACGAGTCCTGGTGTGGTGCTGTGGGATAAAGAACTGGACTGCATTGCACAATTTGAACCACAAAATCAGTGGCTCAAACTCACCAGCCACTGCTTGGAAACCCTACACAGGGTCGCTATGAGTCGGAACTGAACTGATGGCACTTCACAACAGCAACAACAGCCATTGATGAAAGCACAAGTTACCATGCTATTTACTGATTGAGTTTTACTTACTTGAGCAAAATCTTTAACATTATGTGCCTCATGACAAGACCATATATGAGTCTTGGTGCGGCGCTGTAGTTAATGTGCTGGACTGCAAAGTTGGTTTGAACTGCAAGGTTGGTCTTTTAAAAAGCTCACCAGCCTCTCCTCAGAAACCCTGTACAGGGTCGTTATACTTAACCACAGCAAAAAACATGGTAAGACCATAGCCATGGTAGTAATGTAAATGAAGCCTTCTTTTCTCATTGAGCATTTGCAGTTGAATAAAGGAATAGTGTGCAGCTTCACAAAAAGGGTGGAAAAGATGAGGTTGTGAGTCTTTATTCCAGGAATATGTAGGCAGATGCAATAATTACTGTCAGAATTGACTTGCCAAGATCAAGTTGAATGCATTAGGACCTGAGATTTGATTTGGCTTAAGGAGTCCTGGTGTGGCACCATAGGGTAAGCACTCGAACTCAAGGTCAGTTTGAACCACAAGATCAGCAGTTCAAACTCACCAGCTGCTCCTTGTAAACCCTATATGGAGTCTCTAAGAGTTGGAACCAACTCGACAGCACTTAACAACAATGAACCCTGGTAGTGTAGTGGGTTACAAGT